TAGGATTCTTCTCCTTTGTTCAAATTTTCATGCTTGGGAATTTTTACCATTTTTATTGCGGTTGAAATGCTTGGGAAGATCCTTCTCCTTTGGGAATGATGCTTTGAATGATGGGGAAATATTGAATTGAATGCAACTTGGGAAGATTTTCATTTCCCTGGATTGGTTGAAATGAAAAATATGGAATTTTCATTAACCTAACACTGTATGCTTTGTTCTTTATAATGGTGCATTTACGTGAAGAACACATTTTAGCCCCTAGAGCATGAAAATTCTTTATTATGTGATTTGGGCCCTAGAACACATTTTATATGCTCCTCTTTAATAATTGGGCATTTACATGCCCAATCATTCCTGCATATCCAAATTTATGCGGGCTCTGTTGGATTGTTTTGAGAACGAAGTGATGATTTGGGCTCTGTTGGAATGTTACGAATGAGAATGGTTATAGAATAGGGGAGCTGAAACATATGAGTGAATGTTGGAAAATTACTTTGTTACTTTACTGTTATTTTTCGAATCACATGTTCAATGAAGTCTTGATTTGGGAGTTCATTATTCAGCTTTATTATTCTTATTTCTCTCCACATAAATGCTGATAGTTATGTACTGTCTTTGTCCATTTGGTGGGCTCGATTTTGGCCCCTAGAGGACTGGATTTCAGTTTTAAGTATTTTTGGTTAAGCTTTTGCAGTTTTCATTCTATAGGGAGCTTTGTGATGATTTATCTGTTGGATAAATAAACTGCCTTATGTGTATATTTATCTGTTGGAGAAATAAACAGATTCTTTTCATACTCATTTTTTCTAAATTTTTCTGTTTTTGTGAAGACAACCAACTATAGGATGATTTTTCTATACAAACACGCTTTCTTTTAAATATGTTGACTGCTGCAAGAACATATTAGTTGAACCATATTCTTTAGTATACATCATTAATCTAATTCATATGTTTTTGAACTTACTGTTTTTGCCCCTTTCATGGGATCAGTTTAGCCTGAGATTTGTAGCCCGGTTTTAGTTTTACGTCGAAATGGTTCAGTTTTGTCCCTTGTTTTGGGCCTGAATTTGTGTCGTGAGGGCTGTTTTTTTTTAGTTACATATTTGAGGCATGGTTTTGTTGTTTCTTTAAGGCATTCTATGATCGGAGTACATAAACAACTCAAGTTTGATTTCTATGACTTTTTGTTGTTGCTTTGAGTCTTGTTTTGCTCCTTACATTTGCTGTCCCTCTTTTCGAATCGAATTTATGAAAATGTTACTTGCTCCTTACATTT